CTCAAAAAATTACTTAAAATTCTATTTTGATTAAGTTATTCTATCAGTTTTGCTAGGAAGACATCTCTAAGAAATAGACTTGAAATTCAGTAGTTTATAGTAATGAAGTAATGTGTCCCTTCCTTCCTTCCTTCCCTCCCTCCCTCTCTCCCTCCCTCCCTTCCTTCCTTCCTTCCGTCCTTCCTTCTTTTTCTCTCTCTCTTTTTCTCTTTTTTTCTTGTTCTAGGGATTGAATCCATGGCCTAGCTGGAAAATTGTTCTACCACTGGAGCCATGCCTCCTGCCATTTAATCTATTGTTACTATTATTATTATTAGCAGTAGTATAAATAGGGTATCCCTAACTTTGCCTGAGGGCCTTGAACTTTGACCCTTCCCACTCTGCCTCTGAGTAGGTGGGATTACAGGTGTGGACTATCATGCTTGGCTGACCTCCATATGGGCTTTTAGAGTCATGAGGTTTCCATAACTCAGTTCCACCTGAGTTTGTCTTCCTAGCAGAAGAGAAAGATGGCAGTGGCCAAAAGTGTGCAGAAGTTTGTGTAGTTTTCATGTGTCCATGCTCAGTGCGTATCACCTGCGCATACCTGATGGACAAGTCTCGACAGAAGCTCCTGGTCATAGGAAGTCTGCTCTTCTCCATGGAGAGAGAATGGGTGATTGGAGTGTTTTATCTGAAACAGTTATGTCTCATACTCCACAATAAAACAGTTTTGAAGTGACATGTGTAGTTTGAGACCAATTCTGGGATTTAGCAAGGAAAAGCAAAGTGAGAGATATTGACTATGAAATTCTTACTGTGCTACTTTATTTTCTGCACCTTCCCTATTTGTCTTTTATTGTGATTAACTATTGAGTTCTAGTCCATCTCTTTTATCTGGCTCAGTATATCTCAGTAGCCCAAGAGTTGATTTGAAGGTTGCTTTCCTTTGGTTTGGCTTGCCTATCAGTTACTGTAGCTGGAGTGGGTGGGCTTTTACAGTTAGTATGAAGAATTGTGCCTCTGCCATTTGTACAGTCATGGTTTCTCCTACTGTGTTCACACGTGGCCAGCGGCCTGCCAGCAAATAACCAAGTAAAATCATAAACAGATAGAGCTGGCCTGGCATCGGTGGCTCACGCCTATAATCCTAGCTACTCAGGAGGCTCAGATCAGCGGATCATGGTTCAAAGCCAGCCCAGGCAGAAAAGTCCATGAAACTCTTATTGGAAGTGGTGCTGTGGCTTATGTGGTAGAATGCTAGCCTTGAGCTGAAGAGCTGAGGGACAGTGCCCAGGCCCAAGCCCAGAGTTTAAGCCCCATGACTGACCAAAAAAAAAAAAAAGAAAAAAAATGATGCAGCTGAAATAACAACAACAACAATAAAAAACCAAAACCAGTATCAAAAACATCATAGCTTCGTCTGGGGTTGTATGTATTTATTTACTTTTAATTTTTTGTTGTTATTATAAAGGTGATGTACAGACGGTTACCGTTACATAAGTAGGTAATGAGTACATTTTTGGGGTGATGTCACTCCTTCCCTCGCTCTCTCCCTGTTTCTCTCTCCCATTCCCACCCATAAGTTGTATAGCTCATTTTTAACAGTGTCTAGAGAGTGTCTCCTGTTGCATTTGTTCACCCTTTGTCCCTCCGTTTCTGTGTCCCTCTTTACCCTCCCAAAGACAGATAAATGAACAAACAAGACAAAAAAAGAAAACAACAAACAGTAACAAAAATACCTCTTGTTTCCATTTCCTGAACTACATTTCAATAAATATTATTTTATATGATCAGAGGCATATGAGCATTACATCTTTGTGATCCTCTCCTAAGAATATCCTCCTTTGGTCTCACTGTGTATGTGGAATTGTATTTATTTACACACAGTGGGAATCAGGGTTTTTTTTAAGTAAGACAAAGTAACTCTTGCTATCTTTTTCGAATAGCAGAACTAAACTCTCGGTGCATGAGGTCATGAAATCTAGCATGGTGAGATACAGGCTTGGGGAGGGACAGGAGATAAATTGTCAGAGATAGTTGAGGTTTATAAGTAATGCCAGATATTGAAGGCAGGTAGAAAACTTGAAAAGTAGATTTATTTCTTAGATATCAAGATGCAAATGTTTTTATGGAGTGAAAGAGTTAGAGAATATTAGATTGGAAATCTTACACCAGGATTCCTTCTCACCCTGGTCAGAATGGCAGTCCTCAAGAAAACACAATAAATGCTCATACCCTGCTGATGGGAATATAAGCTAGCACAACCATTATGGAAATCAGTATGGAGGTTCCTTGATTCTTTTTTTGGGGGGGGGTCGGGTCGTGGGACTGAACTCTGGGCCCAGGTGCTGTCCCTCAGCTCTTCAGCTCAAGGCTAGCGCTCTACCCCTTGAGCCACAGTGCCACTTCCCACTTTTTTTTTATATGGTGCTGAGGAATCGAACCCAGGGCCTCAGGCATGCAAGGCAAGCGTTCTACCACTGAGCCACCTTCCCAGCTCATGGAGGTTCCTTGAAACAATGAAAGTAGATCTTACCTCATAACCCTGCAGTACCACTGTAGAGCATCTATCTGAAGAAGAATAAATGAATATAAAGAAAGATACCCATGTTTCCTATAGCACTGTTCACAGTAACTAAACTGTGGAGTCAGCTGAAATACTGAACAACGAAGGAATAAAGAAAATGTGGCACATATACACCACAGAATATTACATATCTCCAAATAATGGTGAGATTAAGTGGTTTGCAGTTAAATGAGTGGAACTGGATGGAGATCAGCATACAGCATGAGATAAGCCAAGCCCAGTGTTCAGTTATTTGTGCTGTACCAAGAATTATAGTTGTACAGAAATTAAATCAGTGTTCATAATTAGGAATAACTTTCCATATTTCTTCAGTTAATGAGATTTGAGAACTTTGAAGAATGGTCTAAATATTTTAGGAACATTCTTTTTTTGTAATTTTTTTATTGTGATAAGTGAGTACATAAATTTCACATTATTGTGGGATAGTGATACTTAGTTAAAGTCACAAACACATTCTAACCTTCATGGAGCAAATTGTCTCTATTGTGGTCTATAAAGTTTATGAGTTCTATGAGCTTTGATAATACAATTATTTCTTCTACATCAGGCGATATGTACATTCCTTTTGAATAGTGTCAGCTGAGGAACATTCTTTAATAGGTTAATTTGCTTTAGTGCTTTGAACTCTAAAATCAAGTTTTCCTTCATACTGGGTGAAAATGATAATCATTTGTCTCTTTCCTGGAATTTTCTGAGATATATTTAAACTTACAAAGTAATTTATACTTGTAAAAAACATCTCTGATGGGGCTGGAAAGTTGGCTTAATGGTAGAGTGTTTGCCTCGCATTCATGAGGCCCTGGGTTTGATTCTTCAGCACCACATAAGCAGAAAAATAAAAAGCTGGAAGTGGCACTGTGGCTCAAGTGGTAGGGTGCTAGCCTTGAGTTGAAGAGCTGAGGGACAGTGCCCAGGTCCAGAGTTCAGCCCCACAACTGTTCCAGAATGATGAACAATTTGATGGACATTTGTTCTCTGTAGAAGATGAGTGCACTTTTTCATTCACTTACATTCCTCTTCTTCCCTTCTGACTCCTTAATCTTAATCCTAACATAAGGGTTCAATATGTGGGCAGTGGGAAGACTATGCTCTGTGGTGCACTGGGTTGTAATTCTGGGTGGAGCTTACTTTCTTTGTCCTGTCCTTCCTTTGTCTACCATGAAGGTTCAATAAATTTGGGCTCTTCTTGGGGCTTCAGCAGCTAATCTAGGCACTGCCCCAGGATGATTCTTCAGCTCTGTAAAGGTGGACAGTACGAGTGCTTTCTCCTTGGGGCTGCCACCCATGCACACGCAGGTCTGTGGCTTTCCTCATGGTTGACCCAAAGCCCAGATGTGCATATTGTACTTGGTGATGTCAAATGTGAAGTTACTCTGGGATCTCCTTGGAAAGAGAGTTCTGTAGCATTCCCTCTTCTGTGTCTGTCACTGCTTCCTTTACATATATGTTATTTCAACCTTGGCTGATTTCTGCCTTCTAGAATTTTTTTTTTTAAATAATCAGACTAGCTTCTCAGGTAGGCTGTGATCTGAAGATCGTGGTTCAAAGCCAGTTTGGGCAGAAAAGTGTGTGATTTTTGCCTCCAATTAAGTACCAAAAATCTGAGAGTAGAGCTGTGCCTTGAGTGATAGAGTGTACTAGGCTTGAGCAAAAAAGCTCAGGACAGCACACAAGCCCTGAATTCAAGCCCCAGGACTAGCTCAACAGCAAAAATCAGTTATTATAATGGTCAACTTTGTTTTCTTCTCTCTTCTGCCATCTTAATGGGATTTGAGAAGCAAAAAGATGAGGTGTGTGTGTGTGTGTGTGTGTGTGTGTGTGTGTGTGTGTGTGTGTGTGTGTGTGTGTGTGTGTGTGTGTGAGAGAGAGAGAGAGAGAGGTGTCAGCGAATACCTCAGAAATTCTTTCAGGGAAATAATTTGTTTGCCATTCTTGTTGGCTTTGGAACATGAAGGTGTTTTTTTTCCTATTCCATGGTCACCTTTAATATTATTTATAATGAAATTATCCACATCTTATTGCTGTCAATCTGAGTGTGTGTGTTTGTGTGTGTGTGTGTGTGTGTGTGTGTGTGTGAGACACCATTGCTTGACAAATGACATTTACAGGCTTCCACAAAATGTACTATTTTTGTATAAAGCCATTTCATGTTGCAGACTTTATTTATAGAGTTATGTATATATCCAGATTTTTTCTAATATAGCTATAAGTTCATTGTCCTTTTTATAGAACATACTTTTTACTGGCTAGGTAACTGAGTATGTCAGTCTCTCTATCAGTCAGAGATACTGAAAACAAATAAAACAAAAAATACCAAAACAAAAACCATGATGCTAACATTGTGTGATACTTGAGTATATCTTACAGTGGTTTTGTAATTGCTCCCAGGAATAATGAATGGCTCAGCATTTGGTTTCAACTTCTGTTTCAGGAAGGAGAGAACATTTTCTACTTGGCACTTGAGGATATAGAAACAGACACGGAACTTCTGATTGGCTACCTGGACAGCGATATGGAAGCTGAGGAGGATGATCAGCAGATTTTGTCAGTGACGAGTGAAGAGGAAGAGGAGAATACAACAGGACAGCCAGCAGCTGGCAGGAAAGGTGCTGTGCTGATCATCAGAGACTTGAGAGAAGAAAGTCGTGGAAGCAATGGTGCTTGCACTGTTAGAATTGTAGATGCATTGCAGTATGGTGTTGTTAGGGAAGTGTTCTTGTCATGTGCTATGCTCTTCTTCTGACTAGCTCGAAAAGCATGTTGGAGGGAGGTAGCAGATGGACTCTGTAGGACAACTAAAGTCAGTGCTGGGTTGCATTGTTGGGGGAAGAGTTGGGGTGTGTTTGTAAACCCCTTAACTTTCTGGTTAGGTGATAGACAGTGGAGATTTTCAACTGTTGCCCTGATGTTGCCATAATCACCCCTAAAATACCTGGTGAGTCACTGACTTTTGTGCAAAAGGTTCAGAGCAGAGGTGAAACAGAGCCTTCAGTCTTATTTGAGATCCTCTGGGGTCCTAGAATGTCTGGGGAGTGTTGTTAATTTGTCCTAGCTTGGTAAAGGAAAACTCATGATGACTGTAGGTCAGACCTGCTTATTAATTGAGTCCTTTCACTGAAGAGCTGTCTGTCACTTGCTTGTCCACTGTTATGGAACGAGCAATTATTTTGGGACCTAGTTTCTGTTATGTCATGTTTTATACCTGAAGGAAGTTTGAGAGAAATAGGAATGATGTATTATTGTTGTAGTAGGCTTGAATAAATTTATAAAGACCAGAGATCTTTTGCTCAGAGTTCTGGGGTCTGGGAAACACGAGGTGAGGCACCATGGCTTTTGGTGTCAGGTGAAGGCCTGCTCTTCTCCGATAATGCTTTTTCTAGTTGTGTCCTCAAATAACAGAAAGGGATGGAAGGACAGAAGGGTGGCGCAGATTCCTTGCACATCTTTGCAGGACACTGATCCCACTGAAGAGAGCAGAGGCCTTAGGACCCCAGTGAGACCACTGAAGTTCTTCATACTTTTCTTTCGGGGCTTAGGTTTCAGCGTGTGAGTAGATGAATTTAGAGGGTGTACAAGTGTTTAACCAGGCCATGGTACTTACTCAGTAGTATTTTTCCATTTTGCATAACAAGGTCAGCTCAGAGGTAACATTGGTTTTACTTGTAGCAGTGATCGTAGTGCTTTCCAAAGGAATCTTATATTCTAGCTATGTTTTTTTTTGTTTCAGTTGGATGATTTAAAAACAAGTTTTGTCTGTTCTGTTTTCCCAGTATGCATTATGCTGTTCAGAATATCAGATTTGGGATGATAGCGATTATCTCTGCATTTTGTCTTATTTAAATTTATTTTTTCTGCTACCTCCAGTGCTTGTTACTGTTATAGCCATTGTTTTTTTTCTTTTTTTTTATTGTAAAGATACTATACAGAGGGTTACAGTTACATGAGTGAGGTAATGAGTACACTTCCTCTTGAACATTGTTACCCCCTCCATTGTTTTCCCCCTACCATCCCCCCCC